CACACACAATTCACCATTTAATTGCCTTGTTGCTTTAGCTTCCTGGAGACACAGCCACAGAGTTAAATATAGCTCTGTCCTTCCCAACAAGCAATCCTTTAAAGGAGCTAAATTGCCTTGCTTTTTCACTTCTTACCAAAACTTGATCTCAAGCTTTATAAAAGAGAAAAACTAAAGGCCTTCTACCATAGAATGTTTAGCAATTGACAGGTTGTCCATTGCTTGAGAGGTTTTGTGTACTGCCACTTAATCCTTGTTTCAGTTACAACCCCTGTAGGGAAATTTGAGTCCTGTACACGAGTTCTTCATTTATTTCTGAGCCAAGATAATTCTAGGATTACCATTTAGAAAATTGGGAGAACAGACTTTTGCACAGTTACCAGGCAGACGGTATTGAAAAAAAGGGGCATGTAGACTACCTTTTTGGTGACAAGGTTAGGGATAGGTATTGTGGTTAAATCCCATTAGCAAGAACATTACACTCATTAAGTGAATGCCAGAATGTGAACCAGGAAGCCTTCCTCTTCCCCACCCTGCCCCGCCCCCATTTCTTCTTCTCCTCCTAATGGCATGCCCCTTCAATACCGGGGATTCCCTGCCCAGGAAATGCCTCTCCAGAGTAAATCACAGAGTACTCCCATGCCAAGTCCCTCCAAAGCCAGAGCGCCCTGCCTAGGACACATGCCATTCTCCAAAAATCTACCAGTAGACACGATTCATAAGCCGTCTCTCTCTTATTTCTTGGGTGACCTTTAGGGTTCAGAAAGTATTCCTTTGTGTTAAAGCAAACACAAACTATTCTGCCAGCATAGTTCAAGAATTTAAAGATTCTATTAATCTGATGTCTTAATTGTTATTGAGAAGAGGAAACAGGAGTGCCTTTGTTTCCCGAATGACCACATGCTTCTAAAAAGTGGCCCACAGTGTTGGAGTTTGCATCTCAAGTTGCAGGCAGCTCTGTATGAAGTGGAACTTCAGTGTAACTAATTCCCAGACATTAAAAGGGGTAGGGAAAGAACAGAAAGCTGGGCAAACCCGAAGCGGGCTGCAGCAGGGCAAACTGAAGGAGCCCTGCTCCTGGACCTCCCTGCATTCCAAAGACAAGTTTAAAATAATGATGATAAATGTGGATTTCACTACACAACATATGCATGTAAGAAACCTGCACTTGTACCCCCTAAATCTGTACAAATAAAAATAAAATTTCAAAGAAATCCAGATAGAGGGATTGCTTATAAATACTACCTCGGAACAGCAGTTCATGAGACATTTCACAGTATCCTCTCTCACTTTGGATATTCACATGAAAAAAATACATTTTATTTGATAGGTCACAATGGGAAAGATAAATAATTAAATGTGTCTTTCAAAACTAAAGGTGCTAAGCAGGACATACCAAATAGAAAAACACACACTCACGCAATGCTGAACAACAACATGCAATCAAAGGAGAAAGAAATAAACTCACATGGATGAGAATATAAAAATCATTGTTATTCAATAATAGCATTCTGTGTGCCTACTCTGTGCAAGGCATTGAGAGTTCAGGCATAGGAAAAAGAAGTAAGATTTAGCTCCTGTCTCCCAAGCATTTACCTTCTATTAGGAAAGAATAAATCAAGTCTAGAAATATCTATGATACAGGCTGAATATGATAAATGCCCCAAGAGGAAGAGCACATCTAGCTTGGCTGAAAAAGAGGTATATGGAACTAAAAATAGCTCCATGGACAGGGTAGCATTTGAAATGGACCTCAAAAAAAACAGTTAAAAAAAAAGCAGCTTAAAAAAATGATAGAACAAACATTCTGATTGAAGAAATAAAATGAGCTAAAATAGGAGAGCAGAGCGATATAAAGAATTTAGAGGAGGCGGGGCGTGGTGGCTCATGCCTGTAATCCCAGCACTTTGAGAGGCCGAGGCAGGCGGATCACCTGAGGTCGGGAGTTCAAGACCAGCCTGAACAACATGGAGAAACCATGTCTCTACTAAAAATACAAAATTAGCCAGGTGTGGTGGCACATGCCTGTAATCCCAGCTACTCAGGAGGCTGTGGCAGAAGAATTGCTTGAACTTGGGAGGCGGAGGTTGCCGTGAGCTGAGCTCGCACCACTGCACTCCAGCCTGGGCGACACAGCGAGACTGCATCTCAAAAAAAAAAAAAAAAAAAAAAGATTTTAGAGGAAAATAAGCAATATTCTGTATTAAGCATAGGATATTTAGGAGTTCAGTGGAAGATAAACAAAAAGACACTGTGGGTGGCTTGAAAAAGAGTGGTTTACCCTGGATTCAGGAGAAAACGAGTTACTGACTGTTTTTGAGCCCTGAAATAATGTGATCAGAGATGATTATTATGAAGAAGAATACAGTGGTATGCAAAGCTACGTAGGATTATTTTTTGGAGCAGGGACCCTGGTTTAAGGAGGAGCCACTCACTCATTCCTTCATTCAACAGAAATTAATTGAATACTTACTGTGTGCCAATCCACAGTCCAATGTAATCTACCTGGGATGCAAAGCTTATCGTTTATGAACTATACATTTTAAAAGCAGAATCTACAGGACTTGGGAACTTACAGAAGAAAGTGAGAAAGTGAGGTGGACTCCAAGTTTTGGGGCCAAAAACAATGGCAGAATGGGATGGGGTGGGTTAGGTACGGAAATAGAAAAGTCAGGACAGAAAATGGTTGGAAGGTGCAGACAGAGCTGGAGTGGGTGCAGGTGTTGATTTGTACTTCACTCTCACTCTGCACTCGCCTGCAGAGTGCAGCCAGCAGCTGGAAGAGATTGACAGGAGATGGCAGAGGAAAGAGGAAAAGAGAAGTCAGAGCTTAAAGAATGCCCATATCGAAAAAAGAAAAGCCTTAGGGAGACAGAGGGAAAGACAGCCTGAAAGGAGAAGTTGATGTTTTTTGAGTTTTCTGGAACAGAGGTCTCCAACCCCGGCCTGCAGACCAGTACCAATCCGTGGCCTGTTAGGAACCGGGCCCCAGAAGGAGGTGAGCAGTGGGCGAGGGAGCATTACTTTGGATCATGCTTCCTGTCAGATCAGCAGTGGCATTAGATTCTCATAGGAGCCGACCCCTATTGTGAACTGCTCACACCAGGGATCTAGGTTAGGTGCTCCTTATGAGAATCTAATGTCTGATGATCTGAGGTGGAATAGTGTCATCCCAAAATGATCCCCACAACCCTGTCCATGGAAAAATCATCTTCCACAAAACCGGTTCCTGGTGCCAAAAAGGATGGGGACCACTGTTCTAGAAGACAGTAAGGGTTAAACAGTGAGCAATTTAAATTTTTCAACTATCGCTGATAAAAGTGTAAAAGTCCAAAAAAAAAATATATGTTGCCAAGTTCAAAGTGTTAGGAATTGATCCAGGTGGTCCCACTTCAGCAGATATAATACGGCAGTCTCCCCTTGTCCTTGAGGGACACCCTGGAAGACCCTGGGTGGATTCCTGAAACTGAAGACAGCACCAAGCCCTATACATACTGTGCATGGATTTCTCTTTCCTTCTTCGCAATTTTGTGGATAATATATTCATTCTTATTGTAGATCTCAGCAACCTCAGGATACTTTTCCTTTTCTTATTAAGTCCAGAACTTTCACCTTTTCATTTAGAGGAAGCACTTTGCGGCTTCTATTTGGTATATCTGAATTGCCAGCATCACTATACTTGTACTTTGGGGCCATTACCATGCAAAATAAGAAATACTTGAACACAAGCACTGTGACACTGTGATAGTCAATACGGTAACAGAGATGGCTCCTAAGTGACTACGGGGAGGGGTGGGCATACAGCGTGGATCCGCTAGACAAAGGGTACAATTCACAGGCCAGGTGAGACAGAGCAGGATGGCAGAAGATTTCATCTATTCAGAACAGTGTGAAATTTAAAACTTAGGAATTGTTTATTTCTGGAATTTTCTACTGAATATTTTTAGACTGCGATTGACCACAGGTAGCTGAAACCGTGGAAAGCAAAACTGCAGATAAAGGGGACTGCTGTACTAGGAATCGGCCAAAATTTATAAAGCATTTTTTTTCTTTCCCCCTTCCTCCTAGGAGGAGGAAGTACCAAATTATAGTAGTCTTTATAGAGAAGTGCTTCATAAATAACTGCCAACAGCAAACAATGTATTATCCCTGTGGGTCAATCACTTCTTGGAGGTTAAAAGATCATACACCCATCTTCCCTACCATTTCTATATTTGTATTAATAAATAAGCCAAGTCAGTGAACTCTCTCACACACCTGCTATTGCTTTATATCTTCCTGAAGCAAAAGTTAGAAAGAAAGAAAGAAAGAAAGAAAGAAAGAGAGAGAGAGAGAGAGAGGAAGGAAGGAAGGAAGGAAGGAAGGAAGGAAGGAAGGAAGGAAGGAAGGAAGGAAGGAAAGAAGGAAGGAAGGAGAGAAAGAAAGGGAAAGAAGGAGTTTGATTGTTTGATAGGAACATACCACCCTTGAGACTTCCCCTCATGAAACATGGATGCAGAGTTTTGGCCGAAATTAATATTGCTAAGCTGTGTTTGAGGTTGGCAGAGGAAGTGGTACAGAATTTACTAAGACAGGCTGGGAGTGGAAAAAAATTATAACCCAGGTGTCTCACCTTTTCCTCCACTGGTTGCTTTTCCCCCTATGCACTGACGCCTGGGAGCTTATTTACTGAGTCAATTAACAAAAGATAACCTCCCATTGTGCAACCATCAATAAATCAATTGTGTTAATACTATCTTGGAATGTCCCCGACTATTGACTTTCATATTGTTTACATTAGCCACTTGAGAAAGCCAGAACCCTTGAGTCAGCCTGTTTGGGCGTTAATGGATTCTGGAGTAGCCATTACTACATATAAGTCTCTTTACAAAATATTTAAGTTTCTCTGAGGTTGACCTGCTTTCTGAACATTGGCGGTGCACTCTCCTCCCTCCCCACACGATCCTGCAGCACCAAGCTTGATGAATACTTAGGAAGGCAAACCATCATGATCAGTAATGGAGCAGTCACTTAGGGTACACCTACTTCTTTGTGATTTGAATAATCTATTTCCACCCACCCCAGCCCCACACTGTCAACCACCTTCAACAATCCGGGGAATCAAGTTAATCTTCAATTATGTGAAAGAATTTCAGGAACGAGTGCAGCTCAAGTTACCAAGTAACTTACTGTTGTGAAAAGATTCATACTGCAAGCTGCCTAAATGCAGGGCTTTTAATGATGTTCCCCGCCAACAAGGTAAGAAAAATCTTTCCAGGCAGTGATAATCTCTACATAGGGAACCTCCAAAACTTCTCAAGCTATCTTTAAAATGAATGCAACAAAACAAAATCTTTCTATATTTTCTCTGTACATATTATAAAAAATAAGGTTGAATATCATAATCATAATTATAAAGTTGGGTTTAGTGGGTTTTTTTTTTTTTTTGGTGTCATTAGCATTTCCTTCTTAATGGCATCAGAAATACTTAGAGAACAGGTTTTCTCTTAGAAGTCACAACTGCTCTGCTTCCAGTCCTAGGTAGTTTGCTAAAGCGCTCTATGCAGAGGGATTAAAAAGGAAGGTTGAGGGGCAGGGAGGTGGGACACCCGTCCAGGGACTACAGAAGGTTCAGATTTCAGTGCTGGCTGCAGACCTGAGCAAAGTTCACTGCTCCCTTTTCACGACATGCTACATACTTTTCAAGTTCCCACTTGCTTCTTAGAGAGGAAAAAATGTGGCCTCCGAGTTCAGGTTGCTAGGGACAAGCTGAGCCAATTTAACCATGCATTCCTTTTCTAAAAGATAGGCTGGGTTGTTGTTGTTTTTTCACTGTAAATACCAGAAAGTCTTGATCCTCCCTACTCTAAACAAATACTTTTGCTACAACTTTGAAGTCATCTATCTCCCACGGTGAAAAACCAAGGATTGCATTCAGTAGCCTTTTCCTGCCTAAGTTTAGACAGAATTGAATAGTATTCTACTTTGTAGCACATCCTCTTATCAGACACCGGGCTTCGTTTTTCCTCTTGATAATGATGGGTATTTAAAATGCATATGACTATTGGATAATACAACTCCCACTGTTCTAAGGCTTTTTTATTTTTTTTGCTTTGGCCTCATGATATATATGTCTACTTTGGGTGTTTTGAAGAGAGTGAAGGAAACAGACAGGACTTTGAAAGGAAAAACAGACATCTAATTGGCTGTCTCTTGCCGACCCTCCAGTGACCCTGCACTGAATACCTCTAATGGACATGTGTGATCTTGGAGCCTCTGCTGCAATAAACAAGTTTTAGACTTTCAACTTGTTTTTGCAGCAGAATTCTTTATTCTTCTTAAAATTGATTTAAAAAAAAAATTGAGTGAGCAAGACATTAGCATAGGTATTTTACACAAAAGGGTGAAACGGTTTTCTAATTTTATAGATATAATATTTTTTAAAAGAATTTGGCTTCATTATGAATTTAGTTCATGTTAGTGTGTCATTTTACATACTCTAAAAAGTGGAGTTTTTTTTTAATATGGAAAGCAAGTATTTACCTTCAAAGCAGTAGTTACTAAATTCAAAAAGTTCAGAAAGTCAGTTAGGAGGCAATAATCTTAACTCCAAAAATTAATAACTCTCATGGCATTGTTTATGTGAAACCTTGGAACTTCCTGTGCTTTGAGTCAAGCTAGAAAATAGTAAGAGTCAACTCAAATCCTTTATGCTTCAAAAAACACATGAGACTGTTGAACAGGCTACATTAAGTAATGTGGGGGTTAATGGGGAAAGCCCTCATTTCTACTTTTGTCAAAAGACTAGGAGACTCAGCCCCATCAGAGAGCTTTGCATTTCCCCTGCCACCTTAACCTCATGGGAACTGCCAGGGTACACTACCTCCTTTCTTTTCTTTCCCTTTTCACTATCTAGCATTTCTTCCCTTCTATTATTCTTTCTTCACGTCCATGTTGACCTTTTTTTTTAACTTATCATCTAGGATCAATCAAGGCCTGCCTTGATGTTGCTCTGTGTCCTAACAGCAATTCTTCCTGGAATTGTCTGTTCACATGGATGTCTAAATGTTTAAGCACCCATGTAAATACTATGGTATCACTTTCTCATCAGCAGGGCTTCTGTGAGTTACAGAAAGACTGAGACCAATGCCACCATTTGAGATTCCAATATGTGAAATAATAAAGACATCCCCTAGCAGGATTTTTAATGAATTAGGCTTTATTATTTGATATTTACAGTGTTTTCTGAGAGTGTTCAATATAATAGAGGTAGTATTCCAGTTATTATATATATTTATTTGGAAATAATCCCAAAACTCTACATTATAGGCATGAAGATGGGGCTTGCTTCCATCTGGCCCTCCTGCCACCTTCAGCAACACGCCCCACATCCAATCCTGCTTACAGTCGAAGATGAATCTGGCATAATACAAAGAGCACTGGACCGGAAGCATGAAGTTTCTCTTATCTGTGCCTTGGTTTTCTTACGTGGAAAACAGAAATGTTGACATAAATAATCACACAGGTCTCTGCTAGTACCATTTTGTGATATTATATCGTGCTTACCACACCTAGAAACAGGGGCCATCATTCCAGCCAGCTAACAGAGAAAAATAAGATAAATAATCAGGCTTGGGAAAATACATTTCGTAGACCAAGTAAACAAAGACAACAATCTGGTATAAGTGTTATAACTGGGGGATGAGGGGTTGCAAATGGAGATCCACCACAGTCAACTCTACTTGAATTCCCCTGTTCTCGACAGGCAGCAGCAATCATAATGGACTTGGAGCACCAGTCCCACAACATCACAGGACATCCAGACATAATTGCATTAATACTCGAACAACTATCTGGTTATTCAGCATTGCCCAATATGTGAATAAAGCTCCTAGGAAAAATTAATGCTTGCTTGATGCTTTGACACATTTCCCTTTACAAAGCAAAGATCCCTACTCCTCTCACTTTCTCACATGTAGCATTACAACTAGTCAGCATCCACATGAGGCCTTATAATTAATCAGATCTACTGAGAGGTAGGTCCAAGATCCAGGGTAAGGAGAGATCAAGCAGAAACAAAATACCACAGCCATTGCTCTGTATCTTCAGGAGATTGGTTCCAGAATCCCCTTCAATGCCAAAATCTGCAGATGCTCAAGTCTCTTATATAAGATGGTATAGTGTTTGCATATAACCTACTCATATCCTCCTGTATACTTTAAATCATCTCTAGATCACTTACAATACTTAATACAATGTGAGTGCTATGTAAATGGTTATCATACTGTATTTTTATTTGTATTCATTTTATTGCCGTATTATTACTTCTTCTTCTTCTTTTTTTTTTTTTTTACAATTATTTTTAATCTGTGGTTACTCGAAGCTGCAGATGCAGAACCCAGGGATATGGAGGCCCAACTGTACTTTTATCTTATTATGTAGGCTATGCTAATATTAATGACTAGAATGTTATGTTATTTCTTCTCAGATTTCAATAACAATTGAGCCTCAGGGTCAAAGTATCAGGCACTAAATTGAAGAGAATGCTGATGATTAGGACAGGAAAGCAACTTAAGCATCTATTAGTCCAGCCTACTATGAAAAGTAGGAATTCCTTCAACAAAATTCTCACACATGCCTATCCAACTTCCCAATGATTAAAGCAATAACAACAGTAATGATAATAATAAACACATATTTCATACTTACTGTGTGCCAGACACTGTCCTAAGTATATTGAGTACTGATTGTGAATCAGCACTGTTCCTAAGACTTCATAGACACTTAACTTATTGAATCTTGAAAATGCCTCTAGGAGGCAGGATCTATTATTGCTCTTATTTGATAGATGAATCAATGGAAACAGAAAAGAGTTAACTAGCTTGCCAGAGGTCACAAAGTTACACTGAGAAGAGCTGGACAATTGCACTAGACAGACTAGCCCTGTAGCCTGTCCTGCTAATCCTATGTTACCAATAGGGGCAAAGGACAGAGACAAAGTAGGGGATTAGAATCCATTTCAACACTACTTTAATTAATAGAAAGATCTTCAGTTTTCTGAGCAAAAGCTGCCTCCTTTAGTCTTCATATTACCCACTAGTTCTAAACAGAATAATTATTCCTTCTTCCATTTGACAGTGCTTTTTTATCAAAGATTGACAAACTATGGCTTGTAGGCCAAATCTGGCCCACCATCTGTTTTTATATGGGCCATGAGCTAAGAACGGATTTCAAGTTTTCAAATGGTTGGGAAAAATATCAAAAGAAGAATAATATTTTGTGACACATGAAAATCACATGAAATTTAAATCTCAGTGTCTATAAATGAAGTCTTATTGGAACACAATCATACTTCACTTACATATTGTCTGTGGCTGCTTTTACTTTACTATAAGTCGGAACTAAGTACTTGAAAAAAGACCACATGGCCCAGTAAAGCCTAAAATATTTACTATCTGGCCCATTGCTAGAATGTGTGCTGATTCTTGCCTTAAATAGTAGAAGGTGGTTCTCATGTCCTTTCCTAAAAGTGCTCTTTTTTATAGTAAAATACCTCAGGTCCCCCCAACCACCACCATCTCATTATCCCGGAAACTCTCCTCTGGCATTCTTTGGTACATATTCTCTCTCTCTCAAAATTCTCCTCAGTGGTATATGGTTACGATGGACTACTACTCAACAATAAAAAGGAACAAACTACAGTAGAGACACACAACAACATAATGAATCTCCAAACCACTATTCTCAGTGAAAAAGCCCTGCACGTCTTTTTCTCACTGCATAATTGTATCTACAGGAAATCCTAAAATGGGTAAAATTAATCTAGGGTGAAAAAATATATATCAAAATAATGGTTGTCTTTGGAAAAAATGGGGCAAGGATTGGTGGAATGGGCATGAGAGAACAATTTGGGATGCTAGAAGCATCCCAGATCTTGAGAGTTGTTTGGGTTACATAGTTGTATATATTTGCCAAAATCCACCAAAATGTACATAGTTTGAACATTATACTGTATCCACCTCAAAAACAAACCTTGTAAGTAAATATTGCATTCTAGTTAATGATCTGCATACTGAAAAGTTTAGTGGTAACGGTATCAAGGCACGCAACTCATGTGAAATGCGTCGGAAAATCAAGATGGTTGGATGATTGGGTGGAGGGAAGGACAGATGGCAAGAGATGTGAAAAAGCAAGAGAAGTAAAGTGTTCATTGTCGAAAGTGGGTGATGGATACCTGGATGTTCACTATCTAATTCTTTCACCTCCTACATTTAAGTCTTGTCACAACAAAATTTCCTTCTAAAATAACATTTTCAAAGTAAAATTTTTATGATAAATGGGACAGACAGATAAAGGTAATGTCTGGCATGAAACAAAGTACTCTAAAAGTTGCACAAAGCAACATCATTATTTCCCTTCCTTTGTCCATTTTTATGTTAGCATTTATTTTCCTTTGATGTATCTGATTGGACCCTGAAATATCTACCTTAAACGTATCCAAAAAGACATCTTGGGTATAACCATTGGGACTAGTGATAAGAATTTATTCTATAATGGAATCTAATTCCATGGCAAGAGGCCAACTGTCATTTCTTTGTTTAAATTTTATGATAAGAGATGCATACAGTGAAAGACACAGAAACAGACCCAGTCAGATGCCTCCACCAAATCCACTTGTGGAAAACTGTAAATTCCACAAGTGAGTTTACACTCTTGTCTCATGAATGTGTAGAAAGAAGAATGCATTTGTTTGTTTGATTATAGCTGAATTTCTGCCTTTGTAACCCCACCAGTAGGTGGTCATGTATTTCTCATACTGAGGTTCACTACAACTTCACAAACGATATGCTCAACACTGTTGCAAGCATCAGATGAGTGTATGTGCATGACAAAAATTTGAAAAAGTCCTCAAAATATGCAGCCTAATCTCTGGATTAACTGTTTCTTTAAAGGGCCTCTGCAGTGTATAATCTGCAGACTGGTTCTGTTGCTTTTATGCAATGCCAATATTATTAGTAGCAATAATACAATCATGCTTCAACTATTTGGAGGTCAATTAGCTGGAAAGTTCTGCCTTCTGAATGGAAGCTAAGAAACAAGTAAGTAAGCAAGAAAAATTCTGCGGGCAGTCAAAATAGCTGCAAAAGCTTCAGGGTGCCAAGCTCATGGGAGAGTCTCTAAAGCCAATGCTCAAAATCCTATGATGCTTATTTATGCAAAATTCTAACAAGCCTGGGTTTTCAGCTCATAATCTAACAGAGGTCGCATATAGGCAGGCACGGTGAAAGCACCAAGAATCGGAAGAGTTATTAGCCATCATTCAAAAATCAGAAAGGACTACAATTTGGGAGGAGGGAATTCAGGGGTGGAAAAGTCCACCTTAATGCTACCAAGTTAGCATTTTATAAACTATGTTCCTAAAATTATAGTTCCACAAGATATTAAAGAAGGATTTTTAAAAATAAAAAAGAGGACTGGGAATGGTGGCTCACACCTGTAATCCCAACACTTTGAGAGGCCAATGCAGGAGGATTGCCTGAGCCCAGGAGTTCTAGACCAGCCTGGATGGCATAGTGAGACCCCCTCTATGCTAAAAATCAGAAAAATCAGATGGATGTGGTGGCATGCGCCTGTGATCCCAGCTAGTCAGGGAGCTGAGGTGGGAGGATCACTTGAGCCCAGGAGGTCGAGACTGCAGTGAGCCATGATCGTGCCACTGCACTCCAGCCTGGGTGACAGAGCAAGACCCTGTCTCAAAAAATTTAAAAAAGAAAATAAAAAGTTAGAGGAGGTGCTATCCTCAGATATGTTTAGAAAATACTGGTCTAATAGTGCTTCAATATTTCTATTGTGATTCTAGCAAGTTCTAGAAAGAACATTGATTTTGTGGTTGTTCTTCCTTTCCCCACTCCACATTTTTTCTTTTATTTTGGCTGAAACTTACAGATTTTTTTTTTTTCTTCTCATCATAATGATGTCCATCAGTCTGCCTGAATCTTCTGGTCTGGGTGTGGCTCTGACTTTTCAAACACCCTTCTTACGCAGGTGTTTCCTCTCCTATCCCAAACATTATATTCCCTTTAGTTTGTGTTGTACAGATTCCAGCCCACATTTCTACTTTTTGAGGACAGCTTCCAAATCATCCACATGTTCACTTTCTTTTCCACTTCCCTCAGTTTTCACTTCCTACTTCCTTTCCCCATCTTTTTCCTCTCCAGATTGTATGCCAGGCATTCTTTGCCTATACTCTGCTTTGAAATCCTTCCTGCATTTCCTCTCTATCTCATAGCTTTGCAATTTTTGCTACTCTTGCTCCCTCCTGCATATTTCTTTCATATCATGAATCCCAACTACCTCTCCTCTCCTGCCAAATCAAATGCATCAGCTGAAAGCCACCTGAAAATCCCTCTTCTCTTCCCATCTGTGCAACCCCATTACTTGACCTTCAACATGCATTTCTCCTAAGTGAACCCACCAGCATGCATGGGGAAAAGGGATATTAGTTCATTCCTCTTCCCTGGCAACCCTTGAGTATAGGACTATGAGCCCCCCTGACAAATAATGTCCTCCATGCCATGCCATCAACATTGGATTTTGAGCCAGTAGAACTGTGTTCCATCTTAAACTCTGCCTCTTATTTACTTGGCTCAGTCACTTAATTTTTTTGAACCTCAGTTTTCACATCTATAAAAGGGCAATAAGCCCTGATTTATCCCACGGGGTTGAGTGGAGCCAATGAGGGCATGTTTGTGCAAGCTCTTCACCAGGTGGTAGATGTGACAATTTTATTCTTTCACCTGAAAATTTCATTTATATTTGAAGTCCTGGGAGTAGAGCTTCATTCTCTTTTTTTATCTTCCTAGAGATGAGGTCTCATTTTGTCACCCAGGCTGGAGTGCAGTGGT